TTATTTTATTTTAAATTTTTATTAAATCATAGCTGTGTACATTAATGCAGTCATGGGGTACAGTTTGCTGGTTTTATATACAATTTGAAATATTTTTATCAAACTGGTTAACATAGCCTTCATGGCATTTTCTTAGTTATTATGTTAAGACATTTATATTCTACATGTAGGAAGATTCACATTTACCTTTGTGTGACTTTCCCAATCTTCATTGCTGGTTTTCTGGTCTCTGAATTAGACAGCCTTGCCCAGGATAAGGTGCTGGGGAATCCCGCTTGGCAGGGGATGGTGGGGAATTATCTAGGATGTCAGGACTTGTGGGAAACTCTTTTCTCCTAAATGACTCCACAGTTTTCTTCCTTTCTTTTTCTAACATTGCACAAGTTTGGTCAGGGAGCCAAGGCCAAGCTGGGCTTGGTCTTTGGCCACTAGAGGAGAGACCTCTGGTGGTCAGAAGGAACAGCTTGCTCCCACTGCAGGGGGCCCTGAGTGCTGGTCTAGACAAGCCTTTATTTTATTGATGATGGGAAAACTGAGACACTGAAGGCATTTGTGAAGGTCACTGGCTGTGCCTTCAGTTGCAGTTAAGTCTGCAGGGCTCTGGCACCAGCCTGGCTGGATTCAAATCCTGACTCTACCACTTTTCAACAGTGGGAGTATCAGCAACATAACTGCTCTGAAATGGGTCACTGATACCTCTTACTGAGTAGGGTTGTAGGAATAAAATCAAATAACCTATGTAAGGTGCTTGGCACAGAATTAAGTACTTTATAGCAATGTGGGCTTCCCCTCCGACAGCACTGATAACAGCCATAGGGGTGATCGAGATGCGCTCTTTGGCAGGAGCAGCTGCTGCTGTACAGGGATTGTTGGCATTAGTAGAATCTGCCTAATGACCCTCTGAAGGAGGTACTGCTGTGACCCCGTTTTGAGTTAAGAACAGCAAGGTTCAGAGAGGCCATGTGACTCGGCATACATTCTTACAGATTTACATTCACAGAGAGCTTACCCACTTATGGCTTCAGCAAACCAGCAATGCAGGAAAGGTGGGTATTTTAAATTCCTATTTGGTAGATGAGAAATCAATTCACTTACCCGAGATCTAAAGCCAGTGGCATTTCCCCTACTCTGATCCTAGGCTTCAGCCTTCATGGCCCAATAACCTGGCCTCAGACCCTCACTATGCCAGTGGCATTTCCCCTACTCTGATCCTAGGCTTCAGCCTTCATGGCCCAATA